CAGGTCTTAGACGTTTACCACTTTGGTGATACCCACGAGCACGGGTATGGTAAACTATTGTTTAGTGTATGACGTTGAACGCATGCTGTCAACTATTGGCGACATATGTATGTATATCTGTTGAGTTCATGATGTTAAATACATGATGTAAAACATATTGTGAAATGTGTGGCGTTGAATGCACGGTGTTAAATATATGTCGTCAAACACGCTATTGAGCGTAGCCGATAAATACATGGCATTGAAACTATGGCGTTAAACAAATATGGTTAAATTAATGGTGTTAAACACATTGTTCAATATTTAACGTTGAATGTTTGGTGTTGACTGTTGGGTGTTATTTATAAGAATAAACATTAACACCGTGCACACGGCATATGGCAAGTAAACTCAGAAGTCTGTTTTTCTAACACCTATGTTATCCCAGAATCTGGCACTGGCGTACATGCCATCCGTCGAGCGCCCTTTGAGGGCTGTCAGAAACACTTCAGCGTTTGCAACACAAACAGGCTTTTTACTGATCAGTGCCTGTTAAGTGTGGATGTTGTAAAATGTGTAAAACACCTCAAGGAAAATAGTTGCTCATTATCTCTTATTCGTTTACATTTCTTAAGTAAAATACGTTAACACTGGTTGGTGTTACAAAGAAAACACCACGCTGGCATGCGAGGCAGTAGGATGCATACAGATTCACGTAGATAAAGTATGATGTGTATGTTGTTACCGTATTGTTTACAAGGTAAGATCTGCTGGAACCTATACATATAATATTATTTCATATGATCAAACTTTCTGGAGAGATGTTAGTTGTATGTTGGTGCCGTATTGTTTACAAAGTAAGATCTGCTGGAACCTATGCATTATATATAATTCCATATGATCAAACTTTCTGGAGAGATGTTAGTTTTCCCATTACCTTGGATCATGACTGTTTTCTCTCCATCGTATGATGTCTCTTGTTTGGCTAAAACTCCTCTTTAGGGCACACCTGCCGTAGGCTAGTGGTTAAAGCCTTGACTCGGCCGGGTTCGATTCCATTTATTGTGTCCCTCCGCCGTAATGTTTCTAAAAGCAACGTAGAACTCAACTCTCTTACCTATACATTGTTGGGGTGGGGGGTGGGGGGTGGGGTTTAGCTTGTGGCCCAGTCATCTGAGACACCAAAATTCGTTGTCCCTGTGCTCTTGAGTTTCACCAAAGTGGTTAACGTCTAAGGTGAAGTGAAATGGGGTTTAACGTCGCGGCCAAGATTATTGCACTTATATAGCGACGTGCATGTACGTGTGTGTGTTTGGGTGGCTGCTTGTACTAGTCCGGACTGATGCCGATTTATAGTGCTAGCTCACTGAGATACCATACCGCAGTTTAACATGAATATCCCACTCAGACACAGTATACTGACTCCGAGCCGACCAGTCCTTGTTTAAGACCCTTAATGCCGAGCGCCAGACAGGCTCACAACAAGTACCATCTTTTAACGTCTTTTGGTATGACGCGGCTGGGGATCGAACCCCGGACCTTCCGCTCACCGGGCGGTCGCTCTACCACTAGACCACGGAGGCGGTCGGTTAACGTCTAATACCAGCAGCACTTTTGTGTGCTACTTTAAGCATATTCGCGGACACCTTGTGTCACTACTGATTTTCAGTGGTCCATTCGTATAATTTCCACAGCTATTTGCCCTTTGCGCCACATGAAATCTGTTTTGGGCTGAAAATCTAGACCGGTTATTCTCTTGCATTGACAATTTATATTCATAATGTAATCGCAAGTGCCAGATGGCCTATTGTCTGGGGCTCACGATATATGTTTTATTCCAGTTCATCGAGTCCATATCAATAAAGTACACCATACTCACATCGAATCTCAGCCCTGAACCTCCACGCGTTAGTACTTTGTAATCTTCACAATCATGACGTCACGGGTTGAATACGTACTGATTAGTGTCTTATCAATTCCAATTTGTTTCCCCTCTTCTACAAAAATAACAACGCATTTACTCAAAGGCTATTTTAGTGTACCGCAATATATAAACACACCAATAAACCATGATCACCTGGTTCGTACTTTGTCTTCATGTTAAAACTGCCTGTTCTAAATGAGGGATTATACCATGTAGCTTGGCCACAGACGCACATAACGATTTTCTGTCGACTTACATCACCATCGGTGTCGGTGTGAACTTCCACGTGGCTTGTGTAGCACGTCCACATCGACCTCGTTGTCGTAGTGAGGGAAACGGCGGTAGTCACACACTATACAAATGCTATTTGGTTTTACAATTAACATGTGGTGGTTTGCCTACCATCGGATGTCCAAGTACGAGGATTCCTCTCAACAAGGCGTTTTATTGAGTTACAACAAAATGAACGTTTTAATAGCAATAAATGAGTCTAGGAGCATGACCTAAGGGCCCGTTTCAAGAAATGCATCTCTTCTTTCACAGTTACTTTGAAATCGATTGGTCATCTTAATAGATCAGGAATCAATAAGATTAATGAAACTGTTTCTTTTTGTTCATATGTTTACTGGCTACAGAAAGGACACTTACAACTAAAGATATGATACTGTGTTACGTCCTGCCAAGGTGTGTGGGTTTGACTTTTATGGTCAATGGAGTTGTTCCTCGTGAAGATCAGGGTTAGATTTGGTCTTCAGCAACCCATGCTTGTCGTAAGAAGCGACTAACGGGATTGGATGGTCAGATTCGCTACTTGGTTGAATCATGTCATCGTAACCTAATTGGGTTGATCGATGCTCATGAAGTCAATCACTTAATTGCATGGTCCAGAATGGATTAGTTACAGACCGCCGTCATTTAGCTGGAATATTGCTGAGCACTCACGCTCACACTCACACACATATCACACGCGCGCGCACGCACGCACGCACGCACGCACGCACGCACGCACGCACGCACGCACACACACACACACCATACAATTACAAACGGACGTGCACACGCACGTTATCAGCAGGCAGCTAACATCCGTTTTCTAATCAGTTCGACATCAATGTCATGGCATGTCATTCGTTTGGACTGATACACATTTCCAAAACTTCAGCACTTTCTCCCTCCGTTGTTCTGTTAGAAATGAAGATAAGTCTCAGAAGTCGACAAGCGTCGTGACAATCTGTTCCTCTGTATTCCAAGCATCCGTCGGGAGATGTAAACACGAAGCTTATTTCCCCTGGCCATTTGCTGATGGCAGCTCGTTTAAGCTGAATACATACGAACAATGAAGATCTGGTCCGTGGGTGGGGGATAGCTGAAGATATTGAATCACTCACAGATTTTGGAAAATTGAGACTTTCGTTGTTTTGGGTTCTTATTCCCTTGTGTTGAACTGCACTTAAATCTGCACGTCGAATGATTGCCAAGCATAAAATTCAACCTGAACAAAAGGTTAAAACGTCATGCATATATTTCAGAGGACAATTTTGAAAATTCAAATAATTGTTGTATAATATTTCAGAGGACAATTTTTAGTGTTTGCCGTAATTGTTTTGGCTGAAAAGCGTTGTTTAATCGGATTTAAAGCCCGGAAATGAATATTATTCTTGAAATACAGTTTGGCAATGTTGGTTATGTATTGACTTCCATCAATAATAATCATAACAACTTTGCATTATACGATTTTCCTGAAACATTCTACTCACCAGGCGGGTGAGTTATGAAAGTATATCCTGTTCTCCATTGCATCTTGGCATTTGAATATTTGCTACTACCACCAAGATCTTCACATTTCCAGAGTGACGTCATGTCTGTGATAACGTATGAGATCACGTAGAGCTCTCCGTAAATCACTGACAACATTACTACATATCACTATACACACAATTATATGTGTAGAGCAAGTTAGATATAGTATTTATTGTGAATAATTTAGGAATGTTTTACGCCGCTTTGAACAGTAGTTTAGTTATCACGGCGATAGTGTGCGAGGGAAGCACGATATGTGTACGTCTCACAACTGGCACAGATATGATAACAAACAAATCATCATTATCAAGGGAATCTGGGATTCGAACCAACACACAGATTCGAATTAGGATCATCGCACACCACAGGGCCCACTCCACCCGTCCACTGCTCCACATACATTGGCGACGCATTGGCTAAATTAAGAATGCTTCTGATATGTATTGTTTCTGTAGTACATAAAAACAGTTAGAATTTTAAATACTTTTCAAGAATCGGGAAATTTGTCAAGATTTGCCAATGCTTCCCCAGCCCTAAAACGAAAACCTTTCCCTTTTTCTCTTTCGCCTAATTAAATTAAGATTCAGCGGTTGAGATTCCACAACACGAAAAATAACGGAAATCGAGCATAACTGACAGAAAAACTAAACATCTGATTGTTGTAACAGGCGTGCTCCCCAGTGAGCGCCTTCTGAGTGGGACTATTAAAATATTTAAAGCCCAATTTTATGTGAGATATTGCAGTGATTATGTTATGACTGGGGCTTGATTATCTCCAGTTGGATAAGTAAATGCTAATGAACCAGTAATTTAAGTGATTTATAATTATGAGACTGACGCTGGTACATTTAATACGATGAAAGAACGTCCCGTTCACATTCACCCTTGAATTCTTGTGATCTCTTCCTGCGGAGTTTAATAAATGCGTTAAATGTTTTATTTTCTATTGTTAATTAACATGTTAATTTACGACCGTACGGATTTTTGGCTTGTACTTTATCTTAAATTAGCTTGTATGAATCGACCACTGAGGATTGGGTGGCTACAATGTGTGATCTGGGTCACCATATGCCATGGTGCCCCGAAGGCATGGATCGATCGTTGGTCTTATTACTAATCGTTGGTTTTCCTGGCCCAGAGTTGATTATTTACAGTGAGTCAGGATGCAGCTGGAATATTCTCACTCACTCACTCACTCACTCACTCACTCACTCACTCACTCACTCACTCACTCACTCACTCTGGCAGAGATGCAGACAATTGATATCCTTTCTCACCATTCATTTATTTTTTACAGATGACCGAAGCCCCGTTTGGGAGATCAGATTCCGAGGATGACATCGTCGAAGACTACGATGATGTGATGACGATAAAGTCGACGTGTCTGCGAAACCGGACAGCCCTAGAGAAGGGTCTACTGGTCATCGTGTTCCTTGCGCTAGTGGTCATCATTGGCCTGGCTGTAGGACTGACCAGACCCAGGGTAGTTCCGGGTAAGGGTCGGTTGTCTTCTGTTTTTACTTTCTCGGTGGTGGTTTGTGATGCATGCCAGAATTATATTGAAACATACTGTCATGATGTCTCATCAAACGCAATATCAATATATAGAAAAGCAAATGTGGCTGTGATCATGGACATTTTTGATAACGGAAAAATATTAATTTATGTGATGGCATGGTCGTTAATGATTTAATGATTTGCTTTAATGATTCGCATAAAAGCAAAAACTGGATTGCTTCATGTCGTTTTAATGCGAGATCCTAAAAAAATAATATTTTTCCTTCTAAAAGAGCCGTTTGCTATAAAAAAATGGGTAACACAGAAACTGCGATTATTTTGATTTTTTAAGTAATAGAATCATTAGAAAGCCTTTGCGATCCCAATTAAAAATCATGTCTAATGAAAGAGAGGCCTTCGGAGTTATGTTTTTCTAAATTATAATCTAAATCATACATAAAATCATGATCAATCATGATTACTTTTGCACCACTATTATTTCATGGTAAGAAATACTGATACCTGAAAGAGCTTTAACTTTCCTTTTCCAGAGTACATGTATTCTATATGGCGACAGTTCTGTTAGTTGAATCTGAACTATTCTCTTCAACACTCAAAATAAACATTCCACCATTTAACGATCTGTCGCAATAAAGTTACAAAATTTGAATTTTTGCAAAATATAAATGCTCCCCAGTGAAACCATCAGTATAAGAACACAATGACCACACAGGACAAAAGTTTCTTTCAAAATTCAAAATAAGTAATCAGAATTGACGTGGGCCGGAAATGAATATGCTGTGCCTACCCTCGGCTCCTGACAGTGGCACCGTCAGACCTGAGCGCATCCTCCTGCCAGCGGGGGAGTAAGGACCAGCTTCAGAAGCCGGATCTCTTGTTATACAAAGAAAGTAGTTGTAATTCGCCACGGAAACAAAGTTAATTCTCCAGCTCTTCCACAGCCTCCTGGCCCTGACACGCTCGGTATTGAAGTGACAAGTGTTAATGAATTATCATTGGGAAAATCAGTATATAAAGTGTTCTGGGACGCTGGCGTAACAGACCTCAGGACGAGGACATGAGCACATGGTGCCAGTGTTAAGAATTGCCGACCACATTAGTTCCACACTGAACTGTTCACGGTTAAGACAGGAGACTGGTTGGAGAAACTATTTCAGTCTGTACCCTGCTTTATGAACATCAGTGAGATATCAGAAAAGGCTGGGATATTGCTTTGACCAAGGGTGTTCGTTGTGGAATTATTCTGAAATTTGTTTTCAGAACCATTTTCCGTTCGTTAACTGTTTGACATCCGATACTCATAAGCTTGGATAATGGATGTTCAATCTACACATTGACACTGAAACCAAGTGATCAACTGTAATCCTTTAAGTTACATTGAATACAGACTTGGGTTCAAATTGCATCAACTGATCCAGATGTTGCTTGTACGGCGGAGGACTGCCATGATGGTTTTGTGGATGATCTTATCTCCTTTACCAACTCTCCGTTCGTTTCTTTTAGTGGAGACATACTGCAAGACACCCGCCTGTATACAGGCCGCAAGCTCCATCCTTAACGCCATGGACCCCAGCGTGGACCCCTGCGACGACTTCTACCAGTATGCATGTGGGGGGTGGGAGCGGCAGAGCCCCATACCCCCGGGCTATCAGATGTGGGACCGATTCCAGGAGTTGTCGGGAAAGAACCTGTACGTGTTGAAGAATCTTATAGGTATTTATAACCCCACCTTATACTGGTTTCCTCTTTCTCTTCTTTATCATATTTTCATGTGTTTATTGATAGATTAATAAAAGCCTATAAATAATGAATAACTTGACATATTAGCATTTGACGATACAAGTTGCTGTGGTTTGAAAGTATGACTAAACAAATGTAAAAAAATATAATTCCTAATCACATTACGATGGAAGTTAAAGCTTTTCTTCCTGTGAATACTAAACTTATCACACTATGATGTGAAGAGTCCTTCGCTTAAGGTAATGATGCGTTGGAGTAACTTTACTGCTCTGATAATGACTATTAATTGATCACTAGTCTAAAATGTTTTCAAATCTCCTGTCGAATTCAGAAACCAACACAATGACAGGTGAAGCCGTGGGTAAGGTGAAGCACTTGTACAGGAGCTGCATGGAGGAGAGCGTCATCAACCGGCAGGCAACTCTTGCCGACTTCCGGGCAATTATCAAGTCTGTCGGAGGCTGGTCACTTGACGAAGATGACAGTGCTGGGACATCATGGGACTTCAGTTCAGCCATAGAGAAAATCCACTCCTATGGAGCATGGCCCCTTTTTCACGTTAAGGTCGACATTGACGAGAGGCGCCCAACTGAACAACATGTTCTCAAGGTAGGTGCTTTGTTTCAGATTTGATATTTTCTTGGCCAACGATTTCAAAGAAAATATGAATTTCATATTGGTAAAAATGACGTCAATTTCACAAAATGTACTGAGGTCATTTGTCTGTAGCAAATGTTTTATAGATATTTGTATACTGTTCTAGAAAAGTAATCACTTGAATAAACGTATCTAGAATAGCAATGATTCTGACCGTACGTAAAGACGAAAATTATACATTGCAAATTAATGTATTATTTATACGTTGTTACAAGTTTACGAAAACACTTATAAAATTTATTTAAATGATCCGAACATCTTGCAAAAATGTATATACAGCATACACAACTTATACATAGATATCGCATCCAATTATAATTGAAATTGTGAAATTATAGAATTTAAATATGTCGATTTACAAATGAAGTAATGCTTTTGATAGTCGCTATGATCTCACTTTTCACACTTGTCTTCTCGTTTGTAGTTTGACATCGGCCAGACGGTGCTGCCATCCGATCTATTCCCCTCTATAAAGCAAAATTCTGCCAAGCCAACTCCATCACCTTCCCCTCCCCCATCCCCATCTCCATCCACCAACACGTCCAACACCTCGACACCCTCCCCTTCACCATCCCCTACCCCAACACCGACACAAAAGCAGCAACCAAAGAAGACGGTAGAAGAGGTGAGTCAGAACCGCTGATTATCCTTTCGACTATAGCAATTTAGACGTTGAAGACATCAGACAAATAATTTGATTCAAAGAAAGTACATGTAATAGGGTAGAGCATCCTGCAGCATACCTGAAGCATAAGTTAGAAGGTTTAAGGTTGCAGGAAAACAGTGATAGTCCTAACCACCAGATTCAGTGTTGCACAGTGTTAATGGTCTTTGGATTTCCGTAGAAATTGTGCTCGTGTTGTAATCATGAACTAATGCACAGGGCGCTAAATTGATTAGTTAGAGAATCGAATGGGCATTGAGCACATTTTGGGTCGACTTTATTCTCTTGGAGGAACTGAAGTAGGCGTTGATGTGATAGTCGTTGTTTATCTTGAGATTACAACATGCTGAACGACACATTTAGGGAAATCATTAATTTATCTAACATCTGACACGAGCAGATTCACAAATAAACACAGACTGTTCTTTATTTAATTATCGGTTCCTATGTTTCCCAATGTAATCTGCTTTTAGAGGATGCATACACATAGGACGGAGTCACACAATTCGTTCACATGAACCAGTGCAATGTCGAAACTATGTCTTTAAGTTCTGTCTTTGAAACTATGCATTGACGCAATGCAAAGACATTAACCTTGGGAAAAAGTAAGCAATGTCAAAAATGAAATCACAGTCTGCTTGATGCACTTTTATCATGCAGTGTTTTCATTAAGAAGTATGTAATAAAGTGATTAGACCACTCTTGTGCGTGCACTCGTTCTTCGAACCTGACTTAAAACCATATTAATTCAGTAGACAAAGAAGCTATTTAGTCTCGAAATAGCTGGTGATTGCGGTTTGATGTTCCAAGTAACAACATAAGTCAATGAGAACACAAGGACTTTATTGCATGGCCATGGTGATCTATTTTTTATTTGAGTTAGAAATACACTCTTCTTAATATTATTTTGGCATGAACACACGACTGTTCACTGTTGCTATTTCCCATTACTTCTTCTGAACATGATAACCTTTAATTATTTTCGACATACTTATAAATATTCTGTAATGTCTTTTTCCAATCAATTCACAACCTCAACATTCATGCAATTACAACGTCTGTGTAGGGAGATAATGGATGTCATATCACCTTTCAGGTAAAGAAGATATTTCTGGAGGAGACTGTCCATATTTTGATGGCGTTTGGCATGTCAAAGAAAAATGCCACTGCGAGAGCTGAAAAGCTGTTGGATGTGGAAATCGCCATTGCTTCGGTACGTATGACGTCATATTCGGGTATACCTATGAATGCAGCACAGGCTTGTCATTTTAAACTATAACGGGTATTCCAATGGACGCATGTCTTCGTGAGTGAATATGCATCAATGATTGCAATAAGACAAGGCTACATTAAACATATATATACTGTTATTCTTCTACTATATATATAAAGAAGATATACATATAACATACATTTTTGTATTTTTATGCTTCATTGAAGCCCTGTATATCTTGACTCTAATGTTCACTTTATCATATTAACGAAAACAAATTGAACATACATCGATATTATTTATGAAACCACTTGTATTATTCACGGACTTTGTTTTTCCAGGCTACACCCAACACGTTGCATTCACATGACAGAATGAGGTTATACAACGTGAAATCTATAAAGGAACTGGAGACAAATTATACGCTGGTAAGACAATTGATAAGTTTGCTTGATAATAATAATTTAATAACCATACACTGATGAACAGGATTTGGGTTGCAATGAAGGGTTGCCACGAAGTCCTTGTTACTCAAAGTATCAAAGTTCAATTCCATGGCAGATGTTAACATCACGCCATGGTATCGAACTTTGATACTTTGAGATTCCAAAGACTCCATGGCAAAATAATTCATAAGATAAAGGTATACAAAACGATTACATTAATCCATCTGCTTAAATTCTGTAGAATGAATGAATAAATTGCAGTTGTAATGAAGTTTGGGAGCTGTTCCTTTACTTTAAATGCGTAAAGCCAACTCACATCTTTTGTGACATAACATCACTCCGTGCTCTCTCCCCCCCCCCCCCCCCCCAGCACGATATGATTAAAATGTTGTTCAAACCGGCGTTAACCCATCTTACTCACTTAATGTTCCACAACTATTTCCCACATGTATATTTATGTACATGTCTGTTGTTACAGTCTCAGCTGAGTTGGCTTCAGTACCTGAAGAAACTGAACTTCGTCGTCACCGAATCAGATTACGTTGTAATTCTTCATCCGCACTACCTCACCATCGTCACTCACATCGTCGGGGACTATTTGTCGCGCAAGAATACAACACAGTAAGTTGCATGTATTGGGTCAGGCATGTTCTGTATAGAATGTTTTGGATTCAGATTATCTGTACAGAATGTTCTTTGTACTGATTGTACTCAAAACAGGTGTTCTTTATACATCTTCTCTGTACAGTCAGTCGTGAGTGCTCTGAAGGTCAGAACGTCTGCACTGGTTTACATGATTTGAAAAAAAATAAAAAAAATAAGATGGATTTAACAGATGAAATGTAACAGGTACCCAGATTTACGATAGAACAATCTGTCTGCACACGTCATCATACAACGCATTGTTTTTAAATTGCTGCTTACATTGCAGTTCAGTCATGTGATGAGGTTTGTAAACATATTCAACATATTTCCACATCATGATGAAATGCAGTGGTTCATCCGTAGACACTTTGATCCTTGTTTTCGTTTACCACATATTTCGATATGATTTCCCATGAACACAAAACATATGTTTCTGTTGGTCTCCATACGAAACAAATCCCACATATGTTTTAAAGAAACTTTCATATAACCTTTATTAATGGTTAATTCTCATCAAACCTTCGAACCATAAAATACCAATAAACAATTGTTGACATTTGGAAACAGATGGTAGAATTCATTTAATTTGACGCAACCTTATTTGGAAATCACACGAGTTCAGTCATTACATCACCGGGACGGAATTAACTGATTCGAGATCAAGGCAAACAAACACTTTCAGAGACCTGGCAGCATGCCTCTCAACAATGCATTATATGGGTAAGGACAGACAAATGGTGCATGTAATTTTGAGAACAAACACTTCAAAACTGCTCTTGCATTTCTGGGAGGTCTAGATGCAGTCATTGTCAGGAAAGAAATGTCTAAACAAGAATTCATTTAAATTGTATGTAGTTTTGTGCGAATTAGGTTACCGTTCTGGCAGTGTTAGGTTCTGGTGGTTTGAAACGAAGCATATGATGTTGTTACCGCAGATGGTCCTAGTTACCTGAACATAGACATCAGGTAAAGCCATCACTGAGGCTGTGTCTTGATGTGTTACCCGTCATCTTGGTAAACGTTCCTCGCTACAATGACATGCAGTCCTTTCTGATTGGTAGTGTATTGGACAATAACGTTCTGTTCTGTTCTCGAAACCCATCAGCTTGGTGCCTTTAGATTCTACATACCATTGGCGTAAACGTTTATGTGAAAAAAATGCACTGGTAAACCTTCTCCGTCTTATCTTGTTGATGATTAAGTTGTTAAAGCTGCATCACATCTGATAACCTTCTCACTATGAGCGTCCAAGTCCAGACGAAACCTATCCTTGTTTTGATTTTTTATATGCTTAACATACCAGCTGATAGCAACTGCATGTTGAAAATATTATATTTCTATTTTTTTAAATACATTCCATTATACGTTCCAATCTCCGCCAAACCCGTTTGGCATTTATCTATATTGCCTTATCGGTTATACTTCAAGGATAGCAAGATTTCATTTTCCTGAATACCTGCTTGAATAACTGTTTCAAAAGTAGGATTGCGAGAATATGTACAGGTGAATTGTCACATCGAATAATGTTGACATCAATCGTTGATATCTCACCGCAATATTAAATTAACATTTAGTAGTAGTAATTTAATCTAGCCTCCGGATTTCCCAAATAAATTCATTTACAGCTTCAAGTTCAGTTGCTTGCGTTTTGAAAACACAGGTTGGGAAGATCAAACTGTCCTTCTTAGTGTCTACGATTCATCAGAACAGCCTTACAAGGTTTGTGCAGACATTTAAGGTGAAATCTAACAGTTTGAACCTTTATTATGACAAAATATTCAACACTATAGAAACGTGATCATAGACAAGTTGTGTATGAAACAAACCATTTGTAAGCTGAGTTAAGAGTAAAACCAACACAACAACGTTGGGTTATTCCTCAATCATTTCTCCCCCTCACCCCCCTTCCTGGCAACAGCGTGTGACATCCATCCTACGTGTGACTCAGAGTTATATAACCACCAGCTCGATAACTTGTGCCATAGTCCTTGCACAACAATACAAAATATTGCCGATAGATTGAATTTTCCAATTAACAATGTGCAGTGTACCGATTTGGCCATTGTTTTCGTGTGTATGTGACATTTCACGTGTTTCCAGACTGAAAGCAGACTCTAATGAAAATGACAGATCGATGTTAGCTAAATCCATTACAGCATGAATCCAATTCTAAATGAGCAGCCTTTTTTCACAGAAGGAAAACAGTTTTTTGCTTATTGATAAATTGGTGAGTTAATTTTGTTCCACAGCATGTCCTGCGGTTATTTTACACCATAAATGTAAATTGTACCTGTTTGGTCCCATGAGGGTTCAAATAAGACATTCCGGCGCGCCAAACTGGCTTATTTCTAAGTAAACGTAAACGCAAAGACGGCGCAGCATTTGAACTTATATTAAATGTAATATTAAGTATGATTTATTACAAACAAATGCAGACCATGAAATGAAAAAAAGAGAATTACAGTAAACTACAGTTATAACGAACTCAAAGGGACCACTAATTTTAGTTCGTAATAACCGTAGTTCGTTATAGGCATATATACAGCATTTATACAACAAATGGTCGGGATTAAAAAATAAGTTCGTTATAAGCGTGTTCGTTATAAACGTACTTACCGTTACTGATGTTGTTCCTCGTATTGATGTTCTTTAATGCCCAATATCCCACTTATCAATGTGTACACAATCGTTTATCCTCAGTTGAAAATTATAAATGGGGAACAGAACTGGTCCGAAAATAGTATTTCTAGCCGTAGTATGTCTACCATTGCCATTTGTCCAGAAGTAATTTTGAAAAAATAATTTCGCCGCGTATTGTTCCTTTCACGCCCAATGGAACGTGTTTCGTCGGATAATATCGAGAATGAGTATTCTCTTGCGTTGGCGTTTTGTAGGTATTGAAAAACACACAATTATGCTTAGATCTTCATATTGAATACTGTTAGTGCGAAGTATAAAGTGTTGGCATGGGTTATTACATTCAGATGACGTTCCTTCAGTCTCTATATTACATTCTGAGAACACTGAATGTGTTTGACATATACTTTGCCAAATTCACGTCTTTACGTTAATCACTGCCCCTCTCCTTTTCATAGTCACTGAGCCACTGAATATGTATTTGGAATGGTGTTTTACATGATGCGAGTAAACATAGTGTGCGTGTGTCTTATTGAACGTGGCTGTTTTATTGGGCAGGTTTCTCGTGCTAATCCTATTTGCACACAAGCAATTGCATCGCGACAATTTCTAAATGATGCTCCGTTTTTTGTCAAAGACTCTCACATCTCCAAGTCTCTCCAGTGAACGGACTCTCAGCATGGTGCTTCATCAATTGCATTTAAACTACTCCCAAGGCCTTGAATGTGTTAGAATATATGCATGATTCCTACAGAAACATAAATGTGACATTGAAATGTAGAATTTAATTATTTGGAGGAAAAATAATGATCGAGACTACCCTTAGAGCATTATTTCTCTCAGGAATTGCCTACAATTGGACACAATCTCAGGCAGTTAGCAATAGATGTTTTGTCGAATTTAATTGGATCTGGATAACAGGAAGTCCTATGGCTTCGAGGGATCCCATCCTCATCACCATAACTCAAGCATCTAAATCGGTTCTTTTGCCATTCTGTATTTGTCTGCAGGAATTTGATTGGCCCAAATTTACCACTTAAACCATTCCAGCCAAATTTCAAGAGACATCTTATAAAATTATGCTTTGACCATATATACTATCCCGGAGATTACTGCTGTCTGATTTATGCATTTTAACATTGTATTGAACAAGCTCATCAAACACTTTCAAGAATGTTTGATCAAACTAGAAAAAAAACCCATCAATCCCCTATTTTAATTTAATATTTCTTTTCAGGATACTGCGAGACTACATGGTTCTGTCGCTCGTGCGATCTCTCAAGCCCTACTTCGATCCCAATACATTTGAGGTGTATGAAGAGTCGGGTAAGTGGCGCGAGTGTCCTGGTACTCGCTAGTTATACTGCTGTTACTGTAGAAACGCATGGGTGTCTGGTAAGGAAAGGAAACGAAGGGACCAAATGGATGATATATATGATTTCTCCTTGATACGTTTCTGTGGAATTGGAAACGTAATGGAGCTGTATTACGCGCGTAGTTAATGTCCTTTTGAGACATTAAAATATTCTTTCTTAAACAACTTGAAATGTCAAAGTGTATTCATATCGATACACGAGACATGCATTGCGTAAGCACCAGCTATCGCATAAAGGCGAGATCACGTTTCTGTTTTTAGTATCTACATAGATCGTCTAGGATAATATTGTGACGTAGATATATATGACCCTTCTTGTGTCAAAAGTATTTAGATTTCATAAATGTTACTTTCAATAGTTTTTTTCATTAGTGCATGAATGTATTGCTGTAATTGTTTAAAGTAATTCGACCTATTCTCATAAATGCACCAAGTGTCTCACTGGTCTGTGTGTTTTGGAAATGCACGGTAGAAAGGAAAACTGTCTCTCAAATGCACAAATATAAACAAAACTAATGACACTGAAATGACACTCTAACCAGTAGATAGTACATGTCGACGAAACTTTACATTTTAGGTGCATTCAGGCCTCTTGAGAAATTGATAATAGAAGGTAACGTTTTGGCACGCTGCCCGAGTATGCAATGTTAAAACCTTTAATTTCGCTCTCTTGCTAATTATCAATATTAGAATCAGAAGTCAGGTACAGTTTGCTCTCGTTTAGTTTTCGCTCATATTCCAACTGTGCATTTAGAACGTCACGTGTCATCATTGAACATCGGTTAGTTCCGGTAGTTTCCGGCAAGATTTTTCTCCCGTGTTATTTAATCATGACAGTCGTTTTTTACTTTCTTCTATAGAATGCACAAAATGAAAAGTTGATTGATATGATACTTTGACTATTTTACGTCATCAATAGTTGCTTTTTTACCGAGAGGTACCGGAAACTACCGACACGTCTCGAAGTTGTCCCACATTGTGATACATTTAGCTGAACATACGTATATGTGCATGTGTTTAGTATTAATATGTTACCATAGTGACGATCACCCAGCCATTCTCCATCATGATCCACCGTTCATGTTTAATAGTATCGTGCTCGTGGTTCATAGTTTTCGTGCAATGTTTACAAAAAGCACTGTTCCCTTTTCACAAATGTTGCCTGTTTTAAACACTTGTGCATGTTTGCAACAGTTATCCCAAAGACACTTGAATAATTATATCTTGTATTATGGCAATGTGATATGCAATGAAATATCGAAATAATTTTCTCTCTATTACATAGGTCAATAAATAACGCAATTCTCGTTCGTGAATTCTATATTTTTCTGTATATGCAATGATGAATCAATTATTTCTGTGAATTCAAATCTACCATCGATGTTAAATCTTCCTGATAAGTGTAAAACCAATGGATCTAGAGTTACTGTTTATGTGTGTATTGTAGTATTTACTGTGTATGCGTCGCTGAACAGCTTGTAGTTGTATGTAAGGCGCTATATAAATATATTATTGTTATTGTTGCTATTATTATCATCATTATTGTTAGTTTGTGATACATGGTTTTGTGTCGGCAGTTCATTTTTACAAATTTCTTTGTTAATTACTAGATTTATTTCGTTTTACGTTTGCAGAAGAAGAAGAAATGATTGAACATTGGAAGCGATGTGCCTTCTACACTAACTCTGCGATGCAGTTTGCCACTGGTGCTATCTATGTCAGCGGTACTGCCCATGGAGAGAATGCAGAAAAGGTTGGACTTGTATACCTGTGTATAGCGGAACCCCTTAATCCGAATGACTTCAGTATTGTAGTCGAATAATTCGTTTATCCCAAAAGACAAATCAGGTCGATTTTGCTGGACGTTACATTCCGGTTTAACAAGATTTCCGTGTTTCTGTAATGTCGTTTCGCCTTGATAAAAACTTTCTTTGATACAACCGGAGTTTCAAAGGGGCTCTTTGTGAGTGAGTGAGTTGGATTTAACTTTGCTTTGAACAGTATTCTCCATTTATCACGGCGTGTTAGCTTGATGTTAGGTGAGTGAGTGAGTGAGTGGGTTTGATTTTACGCCGCTTTTAGCAATAGTCCACCAATATCACGGCGGGGGACACCAGAAATGGGCTTCACACATTGTACCCATGTCGGGAATCGAACCCGGGTCTTCGGCGTGACGAGCGAACGCTTCAACCACTAGGCTACCCGACCGCCCCTTGATGTTAGGAAAGATCCATTTGAATGTAACTACCGAAGTTCGTTTTTCTTAATCAGATTTGAAAAGCCCCTTAGTATGTGATGTCACAATTTGATTTGATTGTCTACTGTATACTGTGTTGTACGTTTACACTTGTTGAAACAAATCAAAATGATAAACTTGTTAGTATGAACATCGGTCGTCGTGAATGTTTAACTTGTCAATTTGACTATGCCTGTTTCAAATGAAACGGTTGTTTTAAGATTATTCTGTCAAATGAGTTATATTTTAGTTTTTACATTTATTAACCAAACACTATTACACATCCTAATATAAATATGTTCCTTCTGTTGTAGATTGAAGACCTTATTGTATACGTTAAAAGTGCATTCAAGGATTATCTTCTGAGGAAGTTCTGGATGGACAAGGGCACCAGGACAAAGGCATCAGAAAAGGTATTTAATATTTTACGTTATTTTAAGTGCCAAACTCTCTGTTGTCTTCAAAGCTTAAAATACATTCTCTTTGCATATTTATATCGTGTTTCTGCATGAAAATATTGCTACACATCCTTTGAATATCGTAGTAACCGCAACTTTGCTTTTTGTAGTATGTAATTGTACATATAAGTACTTATACATGCCCACCGACAATGACTGTAAGACAAGTACTATTCTAAACATATTAGCTTCCGCGGTGATACGGCCGTCAAATCAGCTGTTTCATTCAGAGGGGGTTTATTGTGACTTGATACCTCTGATTAACCAATTATAACCGAGTATTTAGCAAATTCATGGTAGAATTTCCGTTTTAACTCTTTTGGGTGCACGATTGACACTGTCGTCTAAGGCACCGCTGTTCACTGTACGGAGTTGCCTCCCTTGGGCGTGCAATGGCAATGATCATTTGTTCGAATGCCGGTTCGTCCTGACTTTGCTTCTAGGTTTGTCAGCACCATACCTATATTCGTCTTTACCCCCAAATTAGTAACATCCAAGACCCGCATCACTTCGGGCTTTCCTTCCACGTCAAACTGAAACGCCTAATAACTGAAAAACTCTTCATGCGTACGTTTTACCTAACTTGCAACTGCTCTATTTTCGTCGTGTTAACGACATGTTTAATCTGCTCCTTCACTGCGCGATATTGCTAAAGTCAAGACGAACCTGATTTAATCATACGTGGAAGTTTCAATGACTACAATTTCATTTCAGATCGACCATATCATAGACAAAATCAGCTATCCCTTGTATATTCTCAATGCTACTTTCCTGGATACCTATTATAAGAATGTAAGTATTGAACCTTGTTATTACACACCTATTGAATGTATACACTGAAACCTCATTAATCCGGACGGTACTATTCCAAGCAAAACGTACGGATTAACAGGTTTCCGATGAACGATTAATGCGTACATGGTTGGTACGATATTTTGATCATTTTGACGTTGTCTACAGTAACCATACGACAGACGAGGTTTCGCGAACACCTGGTGTCATCACTGATTTTAAACTGATTTTCAGTAATCCATTCATTTAATTTTCACCGCTATTTTACCTTTAACGCCCAAAGGAATTCAGGCAGATATTTGAGACTGATTTTCTCGGTCGTTGACATTTTATAGTCACTGTATCAGGTATTCTTGAGATACGGTTAGGTAAGTAATATACGTAAAATAACCTTCTAAAAAAATTCACATTTCAGCGTTCAATTTTCTTTCAATGAATGTTGATAAATTTTCTTTTGAATTTATGGACTGTTTACAAAATGTAAAGTGTCGTTATTCACAGTAATTACACAAGCATGATTACCGTGACGCTAAGCGCTAAAATTAGATTCGCATATTTTCAGTTTGGGGTTGTTGGTGACTGGTTCAAGAATATTCAAACATGGCGGAAGTTCCAGCTGCAACTTGCAAATAATCTGTTAACAGAAAAACCTGACAGGAAAAAGAGGTAAGACTATAAATAGACTTGTACCGTTAGAATGGACGTGAGCTCTAACCATAATCACCTAGCCCACAGCGAAAGTCATAAGAGTTGTCTCCCTTGTATATTCACTCAACAAATTGTGCTTCTTCTTGTCCTCGTTTCAAATATTCATGTATTTATGAACCATAAAGGTTCATATATTGCTATGTGTCTGAATACAAGCTCTGTCTGAATATAAACAGCCTGTTCAAAGAGAAAAAACGCACTGTCCATTGTTTGTATTCAGTAAAAATGTCACCTTACTTTGACTTAAATGTCCTTTCAGGAAAGACTTCTTCCAATGTACATTCTTCCTGTGTTGTATTGTAGCTGGCTGCGTCCTCCGGTCACAGTGAACGCTTTCTACTCCCCCACACGGAACGACATCATCTTCCCCATCGCGATGTTCCATCTTCCCTTCTACATTCCAAATGGACCAAAGTAAGTATTGCCACCGAAACATTGAGTCGCAAGTTATTAACAATACATATTAGAAGAGAACATGGTTATAACAAACACAGATATAACGGTTATAACCAAATATATAATGTATTTGCAGTTATGTAAAGCTATATCTAAAATCCCGACTCCGGTACTTAATTCTCGCGATTTCCAAAGTTGTCTGTAATAAGGTTCTCTATTAGAAATGTCCTATGTCCTTTCAGGTCCGTCAATTTTGGTGCTATGGGGTCCATCATCGGTCACGAAATCACGCACGCATTTGACATACAAGGTATGGTTGATACATATAGACCACCATGTATCTTCTGTTTATGTAATGTAATGCTTTGTTAATGTAATGTAATGTAATGTAATGTAATGTAATGTAATGTTATAAGTGTGTTTCGTTTCTTCGGTGATACAATACAAAATAATTGAATAAATGTGAAAATCTTCCTGTCTTTGTCTTCCTACTGAATTGAATTTGTCTGAAAAAATATGTGCAAATTCAGTGTATACTATATCTATGTGACGTGTGCAGGTCGCCAGTATGATCGAGTGGGCCGACTGGATGAATGGTGGGATCCCCATACAGCTGAAAACTTCGCGGAAACCACAAAATGTATGAAAGGCCAGTACGGACAATTCACCAGAGATGGTTATGGGGTATGTGAACATCACTACATGTATTCAGTATCATTATACTCAATCATCACACACACACATGGCATAATGGCATCACGACATCTTGTTTGTTGTTTGCAAAGACAGAAACGCAGTTCCGTCCCTTAATTGTGCGAGGATCTGATCATTGTTGGTTCGAGATACGCACCGATTATGATCATTTGTTGTCAGCACCAAACATGTGGATTTCAATAAAGTGATAAACGTCTATTGTCGTTTTACCATTTTTCTGACAAGCAGCGATATCACTGAACCCACCCATTCCCTCACAACATGCAGATTACAATGCAAAGATGAAGGAACGTAAAACGTTCTATGGGGGCACGGGTTGCCCAGTCGTCTAAGGCGCCGCGATTCGCTGTGCAGAGTTGCGTCCCTTGGAAACGCCAGAAACCTATGATTGTGGGTTCGAATCTCGGATCGCCCTAATTATGTTTCTAAGTTTGTCAGCACCATACCCGTGCTCGTGGGTTTTACCGAAGTGGTAAACGTCTGAAACCTGCATCACTTCGGCTTTCCCCGCACATTAAGCTGACACGCCGCGATATAACTGGAATACTGTTTAAAGCGGCGTTAAACCAAACTCACACACTCACTCAAACGTTCTATTCCTTGCCTGATGATTCATATTTTAATTTTAAGTTAGGCATGCCATGGAGCGATGTAATCTTAAATACCATTAATATCGTCTTTTGGTTTGTTTCATACTTTCATAAGAGAAACACTAATTACTATGTCAAATCATTAATTACATTTGTTATAGAACGAATACATAATCACATTTTGAATGTTATGTGTCAATCGTTTGTATCCATGTTGTTCTCTCTGTCTTCAGGTTAACGGGACCTTTACATTAGATGAAAATATTGCTGATAATGGAGGACTGCGAGCCGCAGCCTTTGTAAGTTAATCCGCTGCGACCGCGATAAGATTTACTTCCTAATATGTATTGTGTGATAGGGTGACAACGTAGGAGGACGCCATACAAATTTTATAAAACGTATTTTCAATTATGTTTAAACATTGTATGTTCTGCAACCGAGTCGAGTCTTATCAAACCTCGTCCTTTAGCTTGAAAACACACAGTGAATATATCGAGTGAATGAGTAAGTGAGTGTTGTTTTAGCATGGTGTTAGCAATATTCTAGCAATGGTATCTCAGAGCAGCCACACACACACACACACACACACACATGCACGTCGCTATATAAGTCCAATAATCTTGGGGGACGCGACGTTAAACCCAATTTCAACTCACCTCACCTAGCAATGTCACACTGGGGAAACCGGAAAATGGACTTCATACATTCTACCCATGTGGGGAATCAAACCCGGTCTTTGGCTTGACGAGCCAACGCTTCAACCACTAGGCTACTCCACCGCCCTTAGTGAATGTATTGTCAGTTTCATATTCGAGTTTTTGATTTATCATGTATTGTTGACATGTATTAAATGCTACATCGGCTACTATTAATATCATGCGAACTCTCATTTCCCCAGGCATATCACATGTGGGTGGATGAGAATAAAGAAGAGACGCCCCTACCTGGGCTAAATCTAACTCACAATCAGGTGTTCTTTGTCAGCTTTGCACAGGTATGTAGTCAAGCATCTCCCATATCATACATACATCTCTCGAGTTCCTTCGCTTCCTTGTACCAAACGGTATATTCTACATGGATGTGTTGCTGTTCATTATGAGGTATTACCAAGAGTTAAGAGACTACAGTGTAACCTCAGTAATCCGGACCCATTACTACTGAAGGCCAAAAGCTATGCCAGTATGCCAGTTACAATATGTTTGTGTTTAATTAAACTTTAATCGCTTTTCACATGGAGATAAGTTTTGTTCTCACAAATCAAACCGACCAGATTAGTTCAATAAGTGGAATACCTCGTGAGCATAAAACTAGGAAACAGGAAAACTATATAAAGTTTCATGTCTCTGTATGGTTTTTCAAAGAGCAATCTTTTCTGATGCAAATGTTATATTTCCTTTTCAGATGTACTGCTCAAAATATACGAATTATGGCTTATTGCATCATCTAGTCACGGATCCGCATAGTCCTGGCTTTGCGAGGTGGGTCAACGTTCTTCTGATGAGAATTATTCAAATTTCCAAATCGCCATTCAAAAGCATCTTAATCATACACTGATGGTAAACGTGATGAAAAAGAACCCTGGCACATTAAAGAACATGATGGCCAGTCAGTCACAGCAACCATGGTATATTACAAATGACAACCAATTTTAATTATGTCCATTGGCTACAATGCTATTATTCCGGGTCCAGCTTTACACCAATTTATGGATAAGGCACAATAAACTGATTATTCACATTTATGAGTCATAATATTATTTTAGGAGATTGGCAACGACGTACAATTAATTGAGCTTTCAATTCTCTTTGGTAAATTGCTATGTGTAAAAGTCTTTTGTCTTTTCTTTTCAGAGTCAACGGCGTTTTAGAAAATTTCAAGACATTTTCCTGGGCATTCGACTGTCCAAATGCTGCAAAAATGAACTCCAGAATAAAGTGTGAAGTGTGGTAATATCTTATCCATACTTCATGAACGTCAGAAATATGAACGCTACACGATGCTTCAAACTAATCAGTTAAAATTCAATTGAACTTCCCTTCATGAATAATCAAAACGCTGCTACCATTATCAAAGAAAATAATACATTCGTATCCACTGGTTCCCTTTGGTCCTAATACCATAAGTACATTAAACTGGCAAGCGATTACATTATACTCATGTATTAGAATTGGGGTATATGATCATTTTAAACAAGAGAGACAAAAATGATTATAGTCAAAAGAACAATGGGGGATAAAATATACCCAGTGCGAAGGTGTGTTAACTTATGACGTACCGCGTGTATTTTCAACTGATAGCAATGCCTATGACGTATTTACCCAGATATATACCACTATATGTTTTAAGAATCTATTCATGCATAGCTTTCGTAAATTATGGTTTTAAGGCATCGTGCTAGCGCTCATTAAAGCAACCAGCATCATGTGATATGCAGTCTCCATGTCTTCCAGAATGAGGCCATCGCCATATTGCCTACGCTAGAAAATGAAGTCACGTGATGTGATTTAAATTGAAGCACGTCACGTGATAATTCCAGCCGAGGTTTGCAGTATTTCCTAGTCTGATGGCGCGAATGTTGTGGGTGATCTCTTTGTGTGTGCTTACCTTAAAAATATTCTTGTTTATTATGTGGTGTGGCTAATCGCTTTTTCCCATCGGGTGATACGAAAGTACGCTACACACTCGATTTAGAATTGAATTAAGTTGGAATAAGTACTTTGACCGTTATGTAAATAGTAAGAGTTTAAACGAAACTATTTAGTTGCCACAACTTCTTGTTTCTGGTGTAGATAATAGTTTTTTTTACCTATTGTTGTTTGTGTGAACTCACAAAAAGAATTGTTTCGATGTTGGTGTTCATAAGTACAATATATGTTGCTTTAATCCTTCTTGTCCAGAGGGCCAGTTAAAATACAGACATTTAAAGTGTCTCGGCTGACCATGTGTTCAGTGCTATGTGATTTACACAATATAGAATCATTACAGGGGCATAACAGTCCATGGATATATTTTCATTTATCGTAAATTATGTTTTACGAGAATTTCAATTTATCGATTTTCCTTCCCATATTTATCATATGAATGAAATCTTATGAAATAGCATTGTATATAAACTTTTTTCTTGAACATATTAAATTGGATCATTCAACATGGCATTTGTATATATGATTCACCATGTGTCAGTACAATTGTTACGGTATAGTTTCTAGTTTATGAACACTTATTATATTTCCTATGCATGGTTGTGACCTCCAAAAGACCTATTTTCCTACAACGATATGCAATATTATAAATGGAACGCGTTGCCATGACGACAGTTTGCTGATGTCATAACATTTAGCTGTCGTTGTTGCCATGACGACACTATGCTGTCTATGTTTCCATGACTAGAAGTTGTCGTTATCGTGACACCAAGCTGTCCTAATAGCCATGACGACACCTCACACAATTGTTTCCATGACGACTTTCAGTTATTCTTGTTGCCATGACGACGTTAAGGTGGTCATTTCAAAGTTGATCTTTCCTTATTGTAATGTTTCAGTTTCATAACTGGCTATTGAATATATAGTTTACAATTGCTTTACCGTTTCGAATGTTATCGACTTATTTCTTAAATTCACTTAACATTAAGCTTATTGTACATACATTATTTACCATGTCCATGCAAAACATTGATTAAGCTATACTGTAAAACAAAAAAAGGTCTCACTGAAAATACAACAGCTTTGGAGACCTGTTTGTTTAAAAGAGGGATATGATTTGTGTGTCGAATGAATAATTATGCCAGTTTAGTTTGACAGCATTACAAAATGCCGTTTTCACTTCAGCCATAAAATGTGTTGCAGTTGGTTTCCACTGACATCATCTTGAAGGCGTTCAGGATTTTCATTTTAGTGTTTACTATTAGCAAACATTCTTAGTAAATCATTTTACAATGACTTTAGACACCTTTGTGAGAGCGTATCGTGCGTGAGTGAGTGTGAGAGCAAGGTATCGGTTGTTAAATAAGGTTAACATTTTTTACTTCAAATAAATGCTATTTTTATTAAATGATATTGTTGTGTTGTGATTTGGGAAATGGAAGAGAGGGGCTACCTTCAGGATCTCTTGGAGTTTAGTGAGGTTGGTGTTACGCCGCTTGTAGCTTCTAGACATATCACGCCTTTAAGAATGGGTTTCACACACTGCACCCTTCGTACATGATAATACTAAAACGTCAACACCAGAGAGTAACCAGTCTCGATTATCTGCCGAAACAGATTCCGCTGGGCGTAAAAGGAAAAGTAGCGGTGAAAACTGATATGGTCAAGATAGTCAAGAAAGGAAAGGCAGTCTGTATATGTTTTCGTGGGTGCTTCAGTGTACGTCTTTTTTAAAATGATTCATGCAGCAATTTCAAAGAATGGCCGACAAACAAATTCGACACTAGATTGACAGGAGGTATAAATCTTCAGGAACACCAGAGTTATACATGTACATATTGATAACACGTCTAATTGAGTCAGGCAAGGTGTTACTCACGTCATTACATATGAGGGGGCATGGGTGGCGCAGTCGTCTAAGGCGCCGCAATTCGCTGTGCAGAGTTGCGCCAGAAACCTGTGATTGTGGGTTCGAATCCCGATTCGCCCCGATTTTGTTTCTAGGTTTGTCGGCACGATCCCCGTGCTCGTGGGTTTCATCGAAGTGGTAAACGTCTGAGACCTGCCTCACTTCGGGCTTTGCCCCCACATTAAGCTGACACGCCATGATATAACTGGAATACTATTAAAAGTGGCGTTAAATCCAACTGACTATACAACAGGTCCAGTTTATAACGCAATGTTCATTTGACAAATTCAAATTAAGCAGATATATGTGCTATACATACAAATGTCTAAATATATTTTTGTGAGTGAGTGAGTTGGGTTTAAAGCCGCTTTTAACAGTATTCAAGTTATATTGCGTGTCCGCTTAATGTGAGAGGAAAGCCCGAAGTAATGCAGGTCTCAGACGTTTACCATTTCGGTGAAACTCACGAGCACGGGTATGGTGCTGACAAACCTGGAAACATAATCGGGGCGAATCATAGGCTTCTGGCGTGTCCAAGAGACGCAACTCTGTACAGCGAATCGCGGCGCCTCAGACGACTGGGCCACCCGTGGCCCTTAAATATATATTAAACATATTCCAAGATTTATGAATTACTGGACATTCAGCATCAGACATGTCGGCATATATCTTCCGAATCCTGCATTATACATACAAAAAACTTCAAAACTCTTAAATCATGTTTACATAACGTAATGGCAGAATACGAGACATTTGAATCAACATTAGGCACACAGAAAACTGTATTTATGAAACATTCCAGCATACATGTTTATTCATAGAATGGCGTACGAGGCCGACTTAGCAATGTAGCCATTTGCAATGAAGACACAGGACTGCACATTAAATGTAACCACAGCCTTAAAATCAAATGTCCTTTAATTCAGCCTGAAGGATACATGACTGTATTGTGTAGTCAAAGTCTACCACCAGACAGGCAAAGAACGTACAGTAATATACATTTACATGGAACACAGCATAAGGCTGACATGAACTTGATAAACATTGAGATGAACATAAGATCCAGCAGTAGACAGAAAATACCACGCGAAGATAAATGCATAGCTCGAAAACAGCAAGTACATGTCCAGAAACGTCCTTTAACCTAGGGAGTATGGTGACGCTAATCAGCCAACACACACTGTAACCACCCAATCCACACTGGATCTGATCAATCAGATCTGGGATACCCATTTCACACCGGAATACACACGGGGTAGCACCAGGCAGATACGGGACTTCATATACATGTACATGTGCATACCTAGTGAAGCACCCGTGAAGATCCGGGTTAGAATAGGGGTTCAGCAACCTGTGCGTGTTGTGAAAGGCGACTAACGGGATCCGGTGGTCAGGTTTGTTGACATGGTTGATGCATGTCATCGTATCCCAATTGCGTGGATCGATGCTTATGATATCAATCACTGGATTGTCTGGTCCAGACTCGATTATTTACAGTCCGCCGTCATATAGCAGGAATATTGCTGAGTGCGGCGTTAAACAACAAACAGAAACCTGGTTAAGCACAACAATTCTTTATTGACATACATCCCGAACTTGTGCCTTTTGAAATGTCTACATAGAACACTGACCTGATTTTGATACATGGGAAATCTTGGTCCCCAGATTGTCGCAAGGACTGGGTCATACAGATACCAAATGAAGTAGAGGAAATATAAATTGTCAGTGCAAGAGAATAACCATCCTAGATTTTCTACCGAAACAGATTTCATTTGGCGTAAAGGGCAAATAGCTGTGAAAATTATATCAATGGACCACTGAAATTCAGTGATGACACCAGGTGTTTGCGAAGCAACTAAAACGGTAGTCAAATAAGTATAAGTATTTGAAGTAAACAAAAGTGTTCGAGAATGTGTAACACTAATTGAATTTATTACCAAAGTTAAGTATGGGTGAAATGGTTGCTTTGGAAGCCAAATATCATAGTATTTGGATTGTTTTTTTTCGTGTGATTTAATCACTGACAATTTGAACTGAGATGTGGCAGATATAGTAGATTATGGTACGCTTCTTTCACATTCTAATAGATCAATACTTCAGTTCACGGGCATGTATGTGGATGTTTGTAGGCTGATGCTTTAACATTTGAACTAAACAAATAAGCCAAACGTAGCAATACAGTTAGTGTGTCTCCTAAACTATCTAATCTACTAATCTAGTATCTGAAATCTAGTAACTTACAACAAAAAGAGTTGTTAAATTATCTTAGTAAACATATTCCCTGATACTGCAGTAACCTGGACTTGCCAAACATTATAGATTTGTATGGGCTGTATTGGATATATTTGTATAAGGGTCTGAAAGACAGACTATGTGTCTCCCAGACGTAGGAGAAAAAATGTAACAAGGAGTCCAACTCAAGTCTAGACTGATTTGACCTGAAATTGTAGGATTGTTCTGGGTTCCATTTGTAATATTATTTGTTATTTCGTAGATAAGATAACTTTATTTCTGGGAATAAATGTCAGTTTACAATACATTGAGTAAGTGAGTTAACATGTGAAGCCGTATTGGTAGTATCTCAACCATACGAAGCAATACAAGTACCAACAAACAATTGATGCACGTGTTGTTCTGCATATAAATAAATATATGAATCGTGAATGGGCTTATAAAAGCCGGATTTTCTGGGTGTCTTGATTGGCCAAACGTCAGCAACTGCGACGTCATGCTACCACTAACTGAAGCACAACGGAACGGACGACTGAAAGCAGGAGGATGGCATGGGGCTGTAGCCAGAACATTGAGTGTGTTCCACTTTCGAATCGGTAGACTTTTGCAACATCTTTGTTATTATCATTGTAATATCTTCCTACGTTATGATGTGCAGTAAATGTGTTTCCAATAACTGGTTATGCGTCTCGTTTGCTTGGTTAGGGTACTCCTAAGAGGACCGTCTCTGTGGTCCTCGACAGCGTCATTCCAAAATACGTTAAATTTTAAGCTGCTTCTCTTTGACGCTCGGCATTAAGATGATAAAACAAGGATTGGTCTGATCAGTCGTGAGACTGTGTCTGAGTGGGATATCCATGTTAGACTGCAGCATGGTATCTCAGTGTAGGTATGCAAGTTAAAAAAAACAAACTGGCCTGAGCTTGTGCAAGCTGCCCCACCCAGATTTACCAATGCACGCGCACATCGCTATGTAAGGGCAATAATCTTGTACGCAATGCTAAACCTTATATACCCCACCTCAACTACGAAAAAGCAGCATTATCAGATTATCCCCAAAATGTACAGCATATAATTGAAGTAATATTTATTTTATTACATGACTGTTAGAATTTCACATATTTAGAGGATTCACTATATTTGATAAATTCCTTCCTACTCTGCAAACAAAAAGAAAATACAAAAGTAGTAAAATCGTAAATAATTGACAGAGTGTTTCCGACACCCATGCAAAATTAATACCAAAAATGAATTGGTCATTTGTGCACGGATTCGGATATTTGCCAGTTCCCCATGGCTACTAGGGAGGTCTTTGAAGCCAAACGTTAATCATAACTGATATATTTTGGGGGAATATCGATCTCTGTTTAATATATTTGCCATTTCCCCATGACTACCAGAGATATCTTTGAAGCAAAACGTTAACCATTGACAGTGCTACTTCTGTTCTGAAATAGTGATCTCTGTTGAATATATTTGCAAAACCCTTGAACGTGTCTACCTAGGGTATCGATTTTTAACTGTGGCATGGTATCTCAGTGGGCTATAACACTATGAAAACAGCATTAGCAACAACCACAAGCAACCACACGCTCACACGTCATGATCGTTGCGATATACGTGAGATAATCTTGAACGAAATCTTAAACCCACTTACCCACAACTCATCTTGTTTTTATATAAGTCTATTACTTATTGACGAACGCTATTACAAAACTCACATAACTATACCCCTTTCTGTGCAGTACCTCCAGTTTACATGGCTTCAAAATATTTTTTAATTCTTGGGACAATGAAAAACTTCAATAAGAAGTTAATAATGGTAATCTATTTGATGGATTTTGAGTATGCCCCTAAACCCCCTATTCATCTTTGCAGTACACCATAAAATAAACATCTAATTAAGACTGAACCCGTAATACCTAATATTAGTGGTCACTACGACTCGGATATCAAATAACATTTTGTTTCAGATATTTTATTGGAATAAGATGGTATCACTTTCTCAACAAAGCAAGGCAAACTATTGAAATCAGTGTTTTAATTACTATTTTACTCTACGCATGTTTTAGTGAGTGAGTATGTTTTTACGCCGCTTTTAGCAATATTCCAGCAATATCATAGCAGGGGACACCAGAAAAGGGCTTCAGACATAGTAACAATGAGGAGAATCGAACTCGGACCTCCGGCGTGACGAGCGAACGTTTTAATCACCAGGCTACCCCACCACCCTACGCATGTTTTAATGTCCATCCAGGAATGTCTCC